CGGCGAGGACGCGGCGGTGCTGGACGCGGCGCTGCGGCGGCACTTTCCGGCGCCCGGCACGGTGCAGGCGGCCCGGTATAGCCCCGGCAGCCCTGGCGACTGCCGCGCCGCCGCCTGCCGCGCCCTGCGGGCCGCCCTGCAGCACCCCGCAGGTACCAGGATCGGGGGACCCCTCTCTCCCTCCCTCACTTGGGGGCTGAGGGTTTTTACAGTGCAATTTGCCCTGTTTTCCTGTGTGATCTACCCCCTCCTAATGAGTTCTGATCTTTCCTCATGGGATCTTCCCCTACCCAATGGGATCTGACTCCTGCCGCTGGGATCGGACCATTCACTACTGATGGGATCTTTCCCCCCCCACACAGACAGAATCACATCTGCCTTTCCCCAWTGAAATCTCTTTCATGCTAGTGGGATCAGGGCCTTTCCAAAGGGATTTGCCTCTTTCTGGTAAGGTTCACAGTCCTGACAGCCAGGGAGGACAAACTTCCCAGCAGTTTGGGAAACACTAGAGCAGCTCAGGGATATGACAACTGACAGTCATGATATCGTGGCCATCCATGACACGGTGGCCTTCTGTGTTTATGGATGTGTGTTCTTGGGGGATGCAGGACTGGGATGTAGCCTGTGCTGTAGGGTGCAGGTGAGACCTGACCCTTCCGCAGGAGGAAGATGCTTGTAGTGATTTTGCATAATGAATAAGTACCAACAGGATGTCGTTGTTTGGGTGTAAAACCATGTCAGGATGAGGATGGCAGGATGAAAGCTGGATGTCAGCCAGGCCTGAGAAACAGCATTTGCCCTGCAGTGGAAGGGGAATCAGGTTTGTGTGTCAATGCAGGGTGATGGGGAGCTGGGCAGGCTCTGCTCCCACAGCTGCCACACAAAACACTTTAATCTTTGGCACTGCTTGTTTTGGGCTGTTTCTCTTCTTTCATTTTCCCCACTTTTACCTTGCTCCCCAGCATTTCCAGGGGCTAGGGTGTTTTGCTGTCTCGCCGCCTTTACCCCAAGGGATTCTGGCACTCACCTTCAGCACCATGTTGAGAGGGTCTTCTGGGATCCCTGGGACACGGGGATGATTGGCTGCAGCTCAGGTGCTTTTCTCCATCAGCTCAGCCCAGAATTCTGGATCTGAACATTGAGGAGCTTTGAGATGGCTGGGACCCATTGTGAAGGCACAGGCCTGACTTCTGGCACCTCTCTGCTGAGGCACACACAGTCTTCTTTTCAGCTTCTCTCCATTTGTATGCTTTTGTCTTTCTCACATTGTTCCTACTGCAAGAATTTCTGCTGTGCTCCCAGACACCAGTGAATACTCCAGTTCTGGTGGCAGCAGCCTGGTGGGGCAGCAGCTGCAGAGGCAGAAAAGCATCCCTGCATACATTAACTTTTTCTACTTCAGCACATTGCTGGTGCTTGGCTCAGCACATGTATTTTTGTGGCTAGCTGTGGAGGAGCAGGAGGAGCTGGATTRGGTGTTACAGCCTGTTTGTGTGTGCTCATTCATTTCTTACATTCTGCCTGGTGCTCTGAGTCATGTTAGTGTCCCAGGACTTGTGTGTACCATGAGCACTCATCAGCTGCAGGGTTCAGYCTCAGGCAGGGACAACTTTTCTCCATGCTTCTGTGAGTTTTGCCTTACAAAATCTCCATGTGGACAGAAGGATCCCAAGTATAGATGTGCCTCCAAAGAGCAGTTTAAACACCCCAGGCAGTGCACTGGAATTCTTTGTTTGTTGACTGCCAGAAAGACACAGAGMCCTTTAGTGTTGCAATGACTAGATAAACTGAAGGACGCTGAAGTGGTTCATCATTTGTTATCTGATTAGGAGGTGAAAGGCTGGACAATATTTCAATGGAGATACTGAACTGCTGCTGTTGGAGACCATGTAAAATATACTGCTGTAGTGTTCTACAAGCTGCTGTAGTGCTTTACTGTGACAGCTTGAAAATCTGTCATAACTTTGTTGTCTTCCAGAATAAATATCGTACATTGACCACATGCTCTCTGCGATGTGCAAGCAGTTACACCTGCAGTTTTCAGTGTGCTGCTGCAAGACTGTGTGTCCAGCAGGTCTCCATGGGAGGGAGGAATTGCTTAATAAAGCGGGAACAGTAAATAGGTCAACGTGGTAGAAGCTGTGTGACAATGCAAAAGGAAAACTTYCATCTGTAGGAATTCCCGGTGTCAGTTCCCCAGCCTCTCCACGTGTGCCAGCTGAGCTCCTGCCAGGTTTCTTGCTCACTCTTGGCTGCCACATCCAGGTTGGTTTTGGCAGCGAGGTGGCAAAGAAGAAACTGACACCAGGGACAAATTTGCAGGGTAGCAGAGAGGTTTCAGCAGAAATAAGGATTGTCAGGAGCTGCTCTGTGCTTCACAGAGGTGGGCTTTGTTGCAAGGGCCTGGTTTTGTAGCAAAGACCTGGTTTTGTTGCAAGACTCATGGAGGGAGAGGTGGGGAAGCAGCAGGGCTGACSTGCTACCAGTCTGAACTCATCTTCTCTGGTTTATTCAGAAGAGATGAAAGACAGGGAGAGGTGGAGGATCCCCTTYTTCCTGCAGTGCATTTCTTGGAACCAGAGGAGCTGGAGAAAAGATCACGAAGCAAAAGCTGAAAACAACATTCATGAAGGTATGCCCAGCTCCCTCCCTTGTACTCTGCTGTGACTGTCAGAGGTTCCTCATGATTCGCTGATGGTCCTGGTGCCCAAACTCCTTGCTGGCAGCCTCTTCCAGCTATTTCCAGCTCTGCAGTTGACCTCCCCTCTCTGGCTGTGCTTTAGCCCAAACCTGAAGACAACCAGCACATCTGTCTACTTTGTTGCTATCTCCTTGTTTTCTCACCTTTTGCTTGTCTGAACAATCACACTGGGTCTGGTGCCCAAATACACCCCTGGAAGCACTATTGAACTCAGYCGCTTTTTGCTTGAGTGTCTGGATGCAGATCTGTCTAAGCAATTAATTGGAAGCACCCTGATATTATATGATGTTTTCTGCAAACATGGTTGGAAAGAATGTTCCCAAACCATCTGCCTTTGGGCCTGGCAGAGAGAAGGGAGAGAGCAATCAGCTATGGTCTCTCTGGTTCTAAAGGAAATTGTTCAGGTAATGCATAGCATAGCATTCAGCCTTTGWGCATGGCTGGCACTTCTGATTGCACTTACCGGCAGTGATTTTCTTTTTGCAGAAGTGCCTCATGCAGGAAGCTACAAGGGGTGCGGTCTGGAGATCCAGATTGTTCTATGAAACACAAAGAGGAGGGAAAGCTCCTTCACTGTAAAAAGAACAGAATAGAATATTTTCAGTTGAAAGGGACCTATGGTGATCATCTAGTCCAACTGCCTGACCACTTCAGGACTGACCAGATGTTAAAGGATGTTATTAAAGGCATTTAATACATAAAAATCCTTAAGGAGCATAAGAGTCAAACAAAACAACTGAAACACCCAATTTATGCAGCTTTGAGACATATCCTTCACAGTCAGAAAAATGAAGTGCCTGATCTTGCTGTCAGTGCCAGGCAGGTGATACTCTCTGGCTATGTAATTTGTTCTGAGAGTGCTGAGACTTCAGGAGGCCAGGAGCTGGGCTCCTTTGCTCTATTTGCTGAAGCAATGTTGAGTTTGTAAAATAAATGAAAATCAGTTTTGAAAAAAAATCTGCAGTGCTTAGGCTGTGAGCACATAACAATTGCTTCAGCCCATGCTTTCTTTTTGTCTTAAGYTGCATTTTGCATGAAGAAGGGTTTTCCGTTCAGGTCTCCTTTGACCTCTCTCTGCTCCCTGCAGATGACCTGCAGGACCTTGAGGAAGAAGTGGCTCTGGCAAGCCTGTCCCCSAATGGAAACTGTGAAGAAGCTGCTGGAGGCAAGGGAACTTAGAGCTGCTGGGCATCACCCAGCACAATCCACATCCCAGATCTGCCCAGTGGATTTGGAGCAGTGGGAGGAGGAGCTGGTGCACRTCCACTCACCCTCTCCTCCAAAAACCCACAGCTCCAGGGAAAAACTGCTTKCTTGAACTCATCAGGGTCTTTTGTAGTTGACAGCCCCTGGGGTCTGTGCGAGACGAGCCATACCCTGCTGTGCCCTGCTGCCCTGGGGCATCTGGAGCTGCTGCTGGACACTGGGCTTTTGAGAAGCCCTTCAGGGATGTATGCCATATCCTGGGCAAAATGACTTTGGGACTTTGACAGTGAAATGCARCCACTTGTTTGCAGAATGAGGAATGTTTCCTAATTCTGAGCAAAATCCCCTGCTGAGGTTGCTGGGGCTGGCCTCCCTGACAGACTGATTCTGCTGCCTTGTTTTCCTGCTTTACTGGTGCTTGGAAGTTCCTGCAATCTTTGTGATCAGGRAAAAAAAYAMCACAAAACCAAAAGAAAAAAATCCCAAGTAACAGCGTGTCTTGGAGACTCTGCAGGGACACTAAATATGAGGTGTTGGATCTACCAGCTACTGAAAAGGTTTGAGTGTAACAGTGTAACATGAAAAATGAAGTAACATCCCACCATGGGTAGCAAGAATAACACAAAAGATACTGAGAGTAATGGCATCTCGATCAGAGCATGCCTTGGGAGCAGGATCTGTGCCTCTGGCTTATCCTGGTGCTMACAGACTGACTGAGGGACTGTCTGGGCTGGAGGGGTGGCATKTAGGCACTAAGGTGTGACTGGTGCTGGATGGGGTTACAGGAAAGGCCCATCTTACCTGGGACATCTCCACGGATATGTGGTAAAACATCTTGGAGGTAACCTGCAGGACAACAAGTKGYGGTTGCTTCATAAATAYATATATAAAAATATAAAAATTATCTTTTTTTAAAAGTAGTTCCAAAGGATTGYTTGTAACTTGTGGGGCAACACAATTAACTAGAAATCCCTGATTTATGATTCTAATACATCCTTGCTCCCGAGCTAAACTTTCCCTGGTGCAAATCCACCAGATTGTGCATCCCATCTGTCCGTACTGGAACCAAAGCAAGAGCCAAAGTACCTCCATGCTCCTCCACAGTTGGGGCACCTGCAGGTCCGTGTCTGTGCAGATCTGATCATTGCCCTGYGCTGAGAAGTGATGCATGGTTCCTGTCAAACTCATCTCTACCTGTGCTTCCCTTTTAAGGGACAATGGGGTTGGGTGGGAGAGGCCTTTCCCCACAGAAATGTGAGAAGAGTCAGGCCCCACAGAGGCGGCCGGCAAGAGGTTTTAAATCCATGGGATAAAATCCCTGATCCTTCCACTGCCACGGGACACGCTGTCCCCCAAAGATGTCTTCCCATTGCAGGCGACCTCTCCCGGCGGGGGTTGCAGCCACTTTTCCGGGCACGGCGCAAACACGAGCACCGGCGGGGTCACCCGTGGGGACTGCACAGCTCCGGCCCCGCAACCCGCTCGCCCAGGCAGTGGTGTGGGGTTTGTGCGCGCGGGAGGTCGTGAGGAGCCCGTATGGATCGTGGGGAAGCCCGTTGTGACCCGCAAACGATCGCGGGGTTCGCGCGGGGACCGCAGCGGTCGCGGACTGTCCGTGAGGGGCCGCCGACAGAGGGGCCGCGGACAGAGCGAGGCCCCCGGCTGCAGGGCTGCCCCGCTCCTGCCTGCCTGATTCTCCGCCGTCCCTCGCAGGCGATCACCACGGGCAACTTTGCCGGGCACAGCGAGGACCCGCCGGAAGAGGCCCTTGGCGGCACTTCCGGGCCGGGCAGCAGCGGCGGCGGCGGCACCGCGGTTGGGCCGGAGCGGACCCAACCCGAACCCCCCGCACCCTTCGGACCTCCCCGACCCCCCCTCCGAGGGCAACCGGGCCGCATCATGATCACCTCGGCCGGTGAGGCAGCGGCGCGGGGTGGCGTTGTCCGCCGGGGTTTCGCTGAGTCAGGGCCGTGACTGGGCACCGCCGCGGCTCCGTGGGGCCGCCCCTCACCGGGTTCCTCCGCTCCGGTCAGTCCCGGGCGGCAGCGAGAGGCCGCCCCGGTGCACGGCGGTCCGGTACAACCGGCTCTTGAAGCCCGGCACCGTGTCTGTGTCGTGCCGGTGCCTCACGAGGGGTTCGGTGGTTTTGTGTGTCCCCGGGCAGCGATGCGGGGGTCCCGCGGTGTGAGCGGGAGGGTTCGGCTGCTGCAAGTGAACAGCGCATTTTCGTGTAAAACCGGAGGGCTCTCGGGAGGTGCAGGAGGGACTAAATAAGGGGAAGAGGAAGGAGTTGAGAGTTCAGAAAAGCAAATGCCCTGCAGAGGAATCGTCAGTTTTAGGAGTGCGGAATAATGAAGCGTGTGAGGAATTGGATGTTACGCGGTGTTTGTGCATCTAYTGAGAACTTGATAGTGTAAAAAAATAAGGGAAATCTTTCCAAAATACTCAGGGTAGAAATTAACATGTGTCTGGTTCTGTCTTGGAGAGAGAAAGGGTGCAGAGGATGACAGTCTTCGGGCAGCTTTCTCTTCCTGAACCCTTTGCTTTGTTTAAGCCTTTATTTTAATTGAGGAGAAGTAGGAACTCATTTTAGAGGCACTTATAATGTAAAAGTGGCATAAAAATGCAAAATGTAAAGATGGTATGTTGGAGCGAGGTGCATAGGCAGCGTGTAGGAGTGAGTTTGCTTTCTCCTGATAGATCAGRTAAATGCAGGAACTTATTGAAAATAATAATTATGATAATAAGGACACAACAAAGCAAACGTTTGATGTAGAGCTGCAGAAAATAGCTGGAAGGAGCATAGTGGTGTGGGCTGCTGAATCTGCCTTCCTTGCCTAAGAGCCACACTGGTGTTCCCACAGTTCCTGTGGGATGATGATGCATATGGTCTAACCTGGTTTTTAGAAGCAATTCCTGATAATGGAGGCTTTGCGACCTTGTTAGGCAAAGGAATAAATCTGTTGCTGTCATAAAACGTTTCCTATCATCAGACCTCATTCTTTGAGGCTTCACTAAAGCTTGGTCCTACTGTTCCTGTTCATATCTGACACAAAGATCAGATTATTCACTTCCTGTTGGCAGCTGCCCTGAATCTGAACTCTGCACCCTTCCCAGGTACAAGCCTTCTGCCGTGCTTCAGGAGCTGACTGCCTGAGCTCCCCGTTCCTACTGCCCAGCTCTAAACACCCTGGTTTGCTCATGACTCAAACGTGGTGGCCAWCACAGGGTCTGGGTGCCAAGGGGAGGGAAGGTGCCTCATGGATCTGCCAAGGGCTGCTCTCACTTTGCACATCTGTGTGAGGTTTGGGTTCTCTGCCTCCCACTGCAGCCAAGTGATATTATTCATCATAGTTCATCTGAGCCYTCTGTACTGTTCAGATTCTATATTTGCACATTTTGGTTTGGATCTGCACATGCTTCTTTTAAATTTGTCAAGATGCTTTGGAAGCCCAGTTCAGCCCTCCATAGGCTTGTTGGCCTTTCCAGTTTGATGTGGTTTTTTTCAGATTTAAAAAGAGGTTGTCAAGCTGTACAACAGATTAAAGATTTGAAGCAGTGAATTGTGTTGGACTTTGATCAGATCCTATTCCAGTGCTTTCTGTTGCATCCTTGCAGTCTGACAATGAAACCACTTATCCCTGTTCTTCAGATTGAGCACCCCAAATATCTGTGAACCTCTCAGTCATGGCAGTTAATAYTTCTGTGGCTTTTTGTATAAATGTTCTGGGAGAGTCTTGCTAAAGCTGTGAGGTACAATATATCCTCTTATTCATGAGACCAGTTTCTTTGGCATGGAAAAATTCTGTTTTCCTCYAAGAAAGATAATTTTTTATAAACAACGTACTTTTTCAGTTATAAATTCTGAACTATTTTATGCTGTTTAATACAAACTTGCATTTGATCTTTGAAGTTTTATACTGAAGATTTAAAACCACCATTCCAAAGACAGCCTTCTTTCCTGTCCTGTTGGTTTTGAACTAGATGACAAGCTCACTTTTGATACAGAGAGTCCAAAACTGACTATGATTTTGTTTTGCAGCTGGAATTATCTCTCTTCTGGATGAAGAAGAGCCACAGCTCAAGGTAAGCTCTTAATCTGAGAGCAAATAGCAACAAATGCATTATGTTGAGAGCTTAAAATCAAAAAGGTGCAGATCTCAGTAACWAATGGTTGGACAGCAACAGGTGGGCACCAAATTATATCTGGCCTGAAAGCTGAAAGAAAGGGCTTAAATAATAACAGATTGCAAACTTCCTTGTTGGATGAAACTAGGACTTCAAATGAAAAAATCTCTATTAATGAAAGCTCCCAGCTCTCTCATGATAATGGGGCTTTGTTACTTAAAATTGTTCCAGACTGCATTTTGACTACGTAAAATTCAAAGCTGAAGAACATCTCAAGTTTTTAGTATAATTTAACCAACGTAGAACAGAATTATAGTTACAGTTTTCACTTGGAAAAAAATCCACAATAGTATATGGGAGGAAAATAGCAACACAWACTTTCCAGTGTACAGAGGATAACAGTCCACAGAACACCAAAATGTTGGTTTGTCGATTGTTGCCAATTATTTGAACAGTTAAGGTGTCCCCTTTTAGGAGGGGAAGGTGCACTTTTTAATATTTGTAATCCCCTAATTGTTTTATTGGATACAGATATAGGTAGTGATGGATCTGAATGAGCCCTGCTTTTGGTGTGAACTGATTACAAGTGGGATGATTCAGGTCCGGTTTGTTTATCTGCTAAAGTACTGGATCCTATAAATAAATAGAGTTGGCTGATGTAAACCAAAGATTGACTCTGAGGGTTGTCACAAAGACTTGAAATACTTCGTATTTCAAGGAATTTCCTCCATCAGACACTTTAGCCAGTCATTCATCACAGAGAGGCCATGAGAAGGAATGCTAGAGTTGTCTTACCTCTTAAGTGAACAGCTCTTTATTTGCAAAGATCAATGAATGCTTGCAAAGATCATTTAAAATAGAGTTTACTGTTGAAATGGGTCAATGTTTATGATATCCATTCTAGATACTTCATTTTTACTGGGGAAAGGTGGTAAATGCATTTTTGATGTAATATAACTTTTTTTTTTTTGTTTGTAGGAGTTTGCTCTTCACAAGTTGAATGCTGTTGTCAATGACTTCTGGGCAGAAATCTCTGAGTCAGTGGACAAAATGTAAGGAAGTCACTTAATACTTCAGGGTGTGCTACTTAAAAAGAACATGAAATATGAAGTGGATGTAGTTCTGGTTTCTTGACAGTGGCTAGTGCATCACCTAGCGCCAGATTTGCTGGAAAGCACTCACGTGTGGATGTGGGGTTGGAGCTGTGGTCCCAAAGATGCTGATGCTCTTCTCTCCCTTCTCTGCAGTGAAGTTCTCTATGAAGATGAGGGTTTTCGGAGCCGGCAGTTTGCTGCYCTGGTTGCTTCTAAAGTTTTTTACCACCTGGGAGCCTTTGAGGAATCCCTGAACTATGCCTTGGGAGCAGGTGACCTCTTCAATGTCAACGACAACTCGGAATATGTGGAGACGATCATTGGTAAAGAACTGTTGCTGCAAAAGAAAAGCTCTTGTGTTGTCAAAGCTGTTGTAACTTTGAAATTTTACTTTCTTTACCTTTTATCTCTGTATTCTTCTTGCTGTCTTTGTGTTCATTTGAACTGATGCTGCAGCTGATTTTACCCAGTTTATTTGTATGTTCTTTCTCATGCTTTGGGATTCTGTAATGGAACTGACTTGAGTTCTAGCATTTTTTTCCTTTCTTTACCCTTATTCTATATTGAATTYCTAATAAGAAAATTGCTTTGGTTGTTTATTGTCCTTTCTCTCATTCATGTGCTGATATTGTTATCAATTTCAGCATAACTTT